GAAATTTTCATTACTTTTGTTTTCTCCACATTCATTTCCATGCCATAGCACCTTCCAATTTCAATTAGTCTATCAATCATGCCCTGTAGCACAGTTTCTTCCTTAGCCATTAACACAAGGTCATCTGCATATTTCACAGTTTGAATAATTTGCCCTCCTACTTTGAAGTCACCGAGCCCATCCAGAGCTTCCTTGGTAAGGCATTCGCTGTACAAGTTGACATAGTTGCCGGAAGCAGCGTCATAGTTTTTATGTCGAAATAAAATAATATCTTTCACAGATATAAAGAATAAATTGTACGACGTTGAATTTTTATATATAGTGAAATTTTTAATTACTGAAGAAAGTGATGTATTGCATTAACTTTATAATACTAACATCGACTTCAATTTATATTGTCCTTTAATATTTATTGTTATCATTATTTCCATATTAGTACTAGAGACATTGCCGGTCACGATAGCCGAACGGTCCACGGCATGTATTGTCTTCGCTCGCTTGGAATCCGAGATCGTGGGTTCGAATCCCACACAAGGCATGGATGTTTGGTATCTGTATATATTTATTCTATGCTTATGTTGTTCTGTGTTTAGGTAGAGGCCTTGTGACGAACTGATCACTCGTCTAAGGAGTCTTAACGCGCGTCCACATTACTCGTGCTCGTGTGACTCGCTATGCTCGCGAGTAATGTGGACGATATGACAAGTTACGAGACAAGCAAATTTTTAATTTAAAAACTATAGCCAATGAATTAAAATACGACTACAGTCTATACACACTATGAGTAAATATACGGATCCTCAAGCGCTGAAGCCTGGCGAGCAACTGAATTAGCGTGAACGAAGATTTACGAGGACAAGTAAAAGCCAGACGAGACTCCCGACGAGCAAAAGCCTGGCGAGCACGAACACGAGGACGAGTAATGTGGATGCGCCTTTACCATCTGTAAAAAATGATCACTGAAACTGAGAATTCAGCCCTATGCTCCAAACTGGGAGCGAGAGGAAGGGAACAACTAATGATATGNAATTTTTAATTTAAAAACTATAGCCAATGAATTAAAATACGACTACAGTCTATACACACTATGAGTAAATATACGGATCCTCAAGCGCTGAAGCCTGGCGAGCAACTGAATTAGCGTGAACGAAGATTTACGAGGACAAGTAAAAGCCAGACGAGACTCCCGACGAGCACAAGCCTGGCGAGCACGAACACGAACACGAGTAATGTGGATGCGCCTTTACCATCTGTAAAAATGATCAATGAAACTGAGAATTCAGCCCTATGCTCCAAACTGGGAGCGAGAGAAAGGGAACAACTACTGCAATTTGGAGCATTGCTCACATAATTTTGTTACCGGCATGTGGATTCAAGTTAGTTACAATCAAGCTGGAGCGTTAGCTTTGGAAGTCTCTGAGCAGATGTTAATTCTCTGTGGGTCAAACCTCGTTGAGTGCAGTCCATACGTCACAGTTCATATGTAATGTCTTTCTGTAATTGGGTTGGTGTAATGCAGACGTGAAGAAACTGCGGCAAACTGTGTTCCACAAGCCGCATGCCGCTATTGTAAACGGATTTTCTTGCGCGGATAACTTGTACGTAGACACCTATGCCATCAAGCCAACGTTGTTTGCGGCTCCCAGACTTACACGGCTCTAGTGTTCTTAAGTTGACCACCACTGGTACAATCCATGTGATGAAAAAATATAATTGTCGCATTTCCGCACTGGCCGGTCACCGTAGCCGAGCGGTCTAAGGCATGTACTGTCTTCGTTCGCTCGGAATCCGGGATCGTGGGTACGAATCTCAACACAAGGCATTGATGTTCGGCATGTGTATGTGTTTATTCTGTATTTATGTTGCCCTGTGATTAGGTAGAGGCCTTGCGTACGAGCTGATAACTCGTCCAAGGAGTCCTACCGCCTGTAAAATGAACAAAATGAAAAAAAAAACGACCTCGACACAGTATCTTATAAGAGGAACGGGTTAAGTAAGTAAGTAAATTTCCGCACTTCTATTGATTCATTTTAATTCAACGTACCGAACGCTTACGCTCGCGATCTCACAGAAAGGAAAAACAAAATCCGTGGCTTTAGTCCGCAAGCGAACTATACCGACCGAGCAACCGCCGCTTGTCGGAAAAAATAGTGCCAGTTTTTGCGGATAGAGGGTGTCGCGTGGTCAGCGCAACGAATCCCCACGGCCGTTAATTTCGGTTTTCTAGACCGGAGCCGCTATTTCCTTGAAATAGCTCCTAAATTATCATCACGAGGCTGACGGGACCCCGTTTCAGACACACTACTTCTCATAAAGACCTGGTAGCGCCGGGAATCGAACCCGGACCTCTGGATCTGTAGCCAGGAACTCTGACCACTAGACCACACAGAAAATACCGGATGTCCGGAAGAAAGGTATCCAAAATAAAACATTTATATCTCGGAAAGTAATTGTCATACACATATCCGGTTTATGTTATCAGCCCAATTACGCGCATGCGCCGCCACGTCTCTGCCACCATGTTATGAATCACCTGGACAGAGAGATGGCTGGGAGATAGATCGGCAGAAATGGATCAATCGCTTGCCTCCTGGGTCGCCAGATTTAACCCCACTGAATTTTTTGTTGTGGGGTTATATGAAGAGCATTGTCTCCTAGGTTCAGATCAACGATCTGCAACACCTGAAAGCCCGCATAAGGGACGCTGTGTCTACGGTAACACGAAACATGCTTCAAGTAACGTGGAACGAGGTCGAATATCGTCTTGATATTTGCCGTGGCACCAAGGGAGCCAACATTGAAACTTGCTGAGAAAGTTATACGCTCAGAAAAAACTTTGGTAGTTTCCCATTGTAGTGGTGTAACCCATAAATGTGTATAATAAAATCTTTCTGAGATATAATTATTTTATTTTGGATACCTTTCATCCGGACACTCTGTATATACGGATTGTTGTATACTATTAATTTTATTATGTAGAGGCCTATAGGTCTAAGTGGAAGATTTGTTCCTATGATATACTTTCTTCTTCATCTTCTTGTCACATGTAGGTTTATAAATGTTCAAGTTTTGCAGCTCTTAATGCTTTCGCATGATTTCTGTTATCAGTGGAGAGGACCAGCAGCTCCGCCACAGTGAACGAGGTAGTTATGACTGCCAGTAACATTAACGGGAACTCGACAACTGGCAACGCTGTGGCAACACCGTTGAGGCAACATCGTCTCTTTTCTACTCAACCGAAACAGCAACCAATATTATCGCGCCAGGCTACTGCAGCGCCAACAATATGTAGCGGCAGGGATGGGAACCATCGAAGTGCCAAGTCCGTTAAATTGTGGCTATTCAAAGGAATGGTTCAGGTAAGTGGACTGAGTATATAATTTTCATGTGGTCTAGTGGTCAAGGTCCTTAGCTACGGATCCAGAGGTCAGGGTTCGATTCCCGGCGCTCCCAGATTTTTTCTGAAAAGTAATGGGTTTGGAACGGGATCCACTCGGCCTCGTGAGGATAACTGAGGGGCTCTTTCAAGGAAATAGCGGCTCCGCTCTAGAAAATCGAGATTCACGGCCGTAGGGATCCGTTGCGCTGACCACGCGACATCCTCTATTCACTAAAGTTGGCACTGACTTAGCCGACAAGCGGCGGTCGCTCAGTTGGTGTGGTTCGTTTGCGGACTTAAACCAAGGAGTGTGTCTGGGTCTGGTCAAGTGGGATTTATGGTGGACAAAGTGGCGCTGAGGTGGGTTTTCTCTGAATACTTCGGTTTCCCCTGCCAATCTTCATTCCACCAATTGCTCCACAATCACCCTCACCTATCATCTGGGGCTGGTACAATGGGCCAGAAGTGGCCGCAGTACAAGAGACTTAGTCGCACCCCACTAGCAATAAAAAAAAGTTATTGGAAAGCCGGGATAGCGCATTTGGTATAGCACCTGATTACAGGCTGGATGACAGAAGGGTCTGAGTTCGAGTCGCGGTAGAGTCAAGAATTATTTTCTTCTCCACTTCCTCAAGGCTGGCTCTGGCTCCCACCTGGCCTCCTATCCAAAGGGTAACTTGGGTTCTTTCCCCGGTGGTAAAACGGCGGGGGCGTGATTCTAACCACTCACCACCAACTAGTACTAAGATCAAGAAAATATGGATCTATACATACACTCTCCCATACGCCTTCATTGCGTAGCGCTTAATTAGTTAAGCACAGGGACAACTTTATCTTACCTTCAAGTGGATGACAGGGGTTCTTATGTTTCAAAACGAATGGCTCATGTCAGGAATGTATCATTACGACAAGACGTTTCCTGGATATCCACGTAAGTTAAACGTTTATATAAATAAGCACCTCGAGGACTTTCCTTGAAAAGTTACTGCTGCTCTAATTTAAATTCATATGGGCACACCATAAATTCTTCTTGAATTTAGTATGTCGTTAACAACAAGAAAACAAACAAAAGGGCAATTAATAAGCTCCTTTCTTACTTTCTTTTAAACGTTGCTCGAAATGGTCTTTATGTTTACGGACACACAACTCAGCTATGCGTGAGGAAGAAAGTCGCAGAGCATTCTAAAGGCCTTGATGTATCCTTATTCTTTTGAAAATTTTAGTAATATTCTTTATTATCGCTCTGTCTGTAACTGGCCCTGCGGATGTTGACTAGGCACATAAATAATAAAGAATTGAATTGAATTTACAAATTATTTGTTTGATTTTTTTGTATACTTCTCTCCAATAATGTATTTTTCCTCCAGTGCTAGTCTGTAATGTGACTTTGACTTTATGTTATCCATAATGTAATTACTTCTATCTGCGCTCTGTTGTGTCTGTAATTGTCCTTGTGGATGTTGACTCGGCACATAAATAATAAAGAATTGAATTATTATTATTATTGTTATTATTATTATTATTGTTTGTTAACTGTTGAATCAGACATCAAACTTCCTCTCTAATATCAGATGCAGCAGTGTAGAACTTTGTTATCAAACATCCCTACAACAAACAGATGAAGAGAATTCAAGTTAGAAGAGTGCTGAGGCCAGTAAACTGGAACTTCACGTCCGAGACCAATCCAGTGGCCAGAACAATTTACGGACAGCCATTGACGCACTTGGCGGCAGGTGGCAAACCTGCTTTCATGCTGGTTTCTTTGCTTGGCTTATTCTTCAACCCTGAATGTGGAGGCGACATGTTTCTCCGAAACGTCTGTTGGCTTTCGGCGTACTACACGGAGTTGTATCCAGAAGATAGAACTCTTCAACTGATATTTAAAATTAAAAAAATTATAGGCCTAAATGCAAAATCGACACAATATAAATAAAAACCAAACCTGTGGCTGTAGAACCCGAAAGTTCAGCACCGCTAAGAAGAAATCCCGCTATTGGATAAGGTTCTGGACTTCTTTTGTTCACCTCTCACCGGCAAACCAAACTCCACTTGGTCCTCTCATCTGCCCGGTGATAAAAGCTTCCGTTTTACAAGAACTTTGCCGTTCGCAACAGTCTCTTAACTTCCAGGTTCAGTTACTGGGGAGTGAGTTTAAATGCAATTGGCGGGATATAGCTCAGCAAATTCAGTTACTTGTCTGTTATTACCGCTGATGTTTCAGGTTCAGTTCAGGAAACAGACTCACCTCCAGTCTTGTTCCTTCTCTGTGTTACCGTCATTGAAGGCCATCGGACCCATTTCATCGCTCGTTCTTAGCGAGATATCGGTAGTAAAATGTAGACGTGTGTAGAATGTGGTTTCGTTTCGGAATGCAGTGCCCAATCTCTAATAAAAGCTAGAAGATACGGGCCTTCGGACATCGAGAGAAGCTTAATATTTCTTTGCGCGAAAAATCACATCTACTTAGACCTGCAATCAAATACAAAACACTTTGATAATTTTAAATGATTCTCGAAGCTTCTGTGAAAATGGTATATTTATTATGAATTTATATTGGGCATTATCTGTTGGTTGGTGTATATTTGATATGTTACACAACGTGTCGTAAGACAAGGCTACTTATCTGTGGAGAGAAATTAATGTTATTTAGTTCTAAGACTGCCATAACACCGCATAATTTTCTGCAGTCTAAAATGCCGGGGGAGGTACACTGAAAGAGGCGTGCACACAATCTCAGATTCTCTTGCTTCCTCGTATTTGTATTAGTATTTGGGAAAGTACTGTGACGTGTAGACCCATTGCTAGGCAACGACTCGGTAAACACATTCACGCGGGAGCCAACGCTCGCAACAACTGGACGCCGATTGGTAGGCAACGGATCAGTAAATATGCCTAAAACAATACGAGATAATAAGAGACAGTTTTTCCGTGGGGACCACTCTGAGGCTATATAACGAAAAGTTCCAAGGAGGCAGTCGGTCTTTGTCAGAAACTGAGAGAGTTCAGTTGAAGAAGTGTTGGAGTCAGTTGTTGTCGAGAAGTAGGCCGAGTTCTGGGAATGGCAGTCTAAGGTGACTAAGAAGAAATGGAAACAACGGAATTAGACCGTGACAAGAAAACTTCATGTGTGACTTGAAGTGACAGGATAGACTAGTGAAGGCTGAGAATCCTAGTGCGTGTGTAGCGGTGAACTGTAAAGTGTGTAGATCAGCGATAGCTCTGTATTACCTGTAGTTCCGAGTTGTGTGAATGTATAGGATGCAATAAATTCAAACATCCAAACCACAACCCCTGTCTATAGTATAGTGATCATGAAGAATTCCGACATCTGGTTTTGGCATATTAAATAAAATCTTTGATCTCCCTAAATATGAAGAGTGGCTCATAGCATGTCGTCTCTTATGTATATGTAAAAAAAGGTAAAATTGTCCCAGTACTTAACTCATTAAGCACTACGCCATGAAAGCGTATGGGGGAGTGGATGTGTAGATCCATATTTTCTTCAGCTCGGCTCTACCTGGAGATGAGTGGTCAGCTTCACGTCCCTGCCGCTTTACCTCCGGGCAAAGAGCCCCCGGTCTCCATTAGAAAGGGGGCTGGGTGGGCCCTAGAGCCGATCTGGTTGGCGTGAAGAAGAGAAAATTCATGATTCTACCCGGACTCAAACTCCGACCCCTCGCTCATCCAACCCGCAGCCAGCCGCTGTACCGACTACGCTATCCCGACTCTCTTATGTATATGTACGATGTATGTTTATGTATGTATGTTATATACCTTTTTTTTTCCTTGGCACTACAGCCCCAGTGGGCCTAGGCCTACCTCCATGAACTCCGTTCACTTCGGTTTTTCTAGATCTTACACATACGGTAGGACTCCTTGGGCGGGTGATCAGCTCATCTCAAGGCCTCTACCTGTAGACAAACACAGAAAAACGCACACAAACATCCATGCCCTGAGTGGGATTCGAACCCACGATCCCGGCTTCCGAGCGAGCGAAGACAGTGCATGCCTTAGACCGCTCGGCCACCGTGAATGTTATATACGTTACCTATATATATATGGACGGATGTGCATCTCGTTATATCATCAATGGTTGGAGAGTTGTTATGGGGTACTCAAGAATTTACTAAACGTAGATCATTGACATTTTTTTTTTAAATTAACTGCGTATTTACAATCTGCTCTCTTATTGTGGAGCATTAAGTAAATCTGTGGGCGAGTGGCATGAGTGGGGCATTCATCCTCTGATGAATCCCCTATCAGTCTTGTTGATGGTTACTATTGTTTGCCGTGTCTTCAGCGGTTTCGTGGAGGTCAGTAGGCCATTGCCGTTTTAGTCGCCTTGGCACCTTTGGCGGAGTATTCAGGGCCGCTATGAGTTTGTTGCTATGTCCATCTAGTCGTGCGCTATATAGTCTCGACCGTCTGCGGATCTCGTCACTGACGAAAGGAGTTTGGAGGTCGTTGTGAAGAGATAGGTTGGACACATACCAGGGTGCATCTGCGACTGCTCGTAGGATTTTTGACTGTATTCTCTGTATGATTTTTGTATGTGACGGTTTAGCACAACCCCACAGTTGGATCCCGTAGGTCCATATTGGTTTAATAATGCATTTGTATAGAAGTAGTTTATTGTTCATGGATAGTTTAGATTTTTGTCCCAGGAGCCAAGACATTTCCTTTAGTTTTAGGTTTATCTGCTGTCGTTTGGTTTTGATATGCTTATGCCATGTCAATTTCTGGTCTAAGTGTAGACCTAGATATTTCACTTCGTTTTTAACTGGTATGGGAATGTTGTTTATCGATACCTGTGGGCATACTATTCGTCTTGTTGTGAAGGTAATGTGGACCGATTTGTTCTGGTTTATGTTGATCTGCCAGTTGTGGAACCAGTGCTGTAGAAGGTTTAGATGTTGTTGGAGATTTTCCGAGGCTATTATTGGATCGTTACTTGTTGCTAGGATTGCGGTGTCGTCTGCA